ACACGAAACTGAACCCATTTTTCTAACAAAAATTACATTAAAATCTAACTGTACTAGGACCCAGGAATTCAATTCCATCACTTTTTTGATGGACTTGTCGGGTTTCTTCACCTCCTCCCTCATCTTAGCGGAAGCCGCCGCCAGGGCCGGCAGATATGGAAAGGAATGAACCTTGGCCTCGGTAAATGACCTAAGGTTTTTCTTGGCATGCCTGAGGACATAATTCCATCTGCAAATTCCTTGATCCTTCAATACCTCCACTCCATAAATTGTAGCTGCCACAATCCATGCTTTCCTTGTTGCACTTATTGTTTTCTTGTAAATCTTGATCAAGAAAATATTTTTATCTTTGAAAGTAGGATTGTGGCAAACAAAGAGAGAGATTTTCTTTTCTTTTTCTTTTCCTTTTCTTTTCCTTTTTCTTTTACGAATTAATAATGGTGCTGATGATATGGGACTGGTCCCATTTATAATAGGGTTTGTGACTAAATATACATATTTTTTAATATATAACATGAAAGCGTATAAAACCATTGGCTGGTTGGTGTCTGCCAATAGTTTTGGAAAAGTTAGAGGCCCTTTATTTTGGACTTAAAAACCATTTATTATTTTGTAAAGCCAACAAACTTGTGATTTGCCTTTACTTTGTTCATAGCATTTGATTTTGGAGGCTGAGGTTAAAGACTAAAGAAAGCTTCCATGTGATTTTCACCTCAATTTATTCAATTTAATTTAGAATGTTTCTGATAAGAATAGCTATTTTTTTATTATAGTATTTTCCTTTTCTTCTTTTTTTTTCCTCACCAAATATAGTGTAAGACTCTAATTCATGATCATCACAGACAAAGAGTTCAGTATATAAAATTTAGCCCCAAAATTTTCTAATATCAAACTAAACTTTTGAACATATTTTTGATAGTTCAAGTAATATAATTGATGCAAAATTAGCATTACATATGTACAAAAAACAAGGTGGCAGCTTAATTTGGACCCCAACAGCTCAAATACATGACAGTTCTAAGTGCTTCCTCTGACTTCTTCAACTTCTCATCATCTCTCAGTTTCTTAGCCAAAGCAGAAGAAGATGGAACATAAACTTTCTTAGCTTGAGAAGATGATCTGATATTGTTCTTGACATGCTGTTGAATTGACCTTAGACCATAATTCCATCTACAAATTCCTTGATCTTTTAGTGCCTCAACAGCTCCAATGCTAGCAGCTGCTATCCAAGCTCTTGTTGAAGAACTCATGTTTTTCTTTTTTCTACGCTTTTGGGAGGTGATTGAAATGAAAGTGCCGATGGGCTGCTTTCGGAATTCAAAGACTGATTTTCTGGCTGTATTTTGCTTTGTAGAAGAAAATGGTGGGTGGGTAAGAGTTTCTTATATAGAGGAAAGCGTTGGGAAAAAACCAGAGACGGTATTGCCAAAGCAAAAGGAAAAAAGCCAATGGTTTCAATAAGTACTATAGGCTAGTGGTATTATAATAAAATAAATGGTTTAACTGTACATCCTACGATGGAGACAATAATAGTAAAGAAATGGACAAACTCTCTATGTTTCGAAGAAAAAAAAACCTTTCGAAAAATAATATTTTTATTTTTTTGGGTTTATTTGTCAAAAAAAATTAGTTAACTAAAAATGATTTTCTAGTCAAACATAAAATAAAATAATATTTTTGAAAATTATCTTATCATTTTGAGTAAAAAAAGAAGATAATTTTAAAAAATTATTTATGAGTAAAATTACTTATTAATATATTTGAATATAATTTTACTCAAATCAAATTTTATATATAATTATTTTAAGTTTAAACTTAACTTGACCTAAAATATTATTATATTAATAAATTAGATTATAATTCGTGTGATGCACGAAATAATTTTATTTATTTAATATGAATAATTATAAATTAAATTTTTTTAAATTATATTTAAATTTTTAAAACTCATCACATATATAAAATTTATATATAATAATTTGTCATTAAAAAATAATTTTTTTAAAAATAGTAAAAAAAATTTATGTCTTTCCTTTGTATATTTTTGTTTATAATAATATTTATACTCCTGAAAAATTATATTAAATAAAAATAAATTATCTTTTCTAAAAAATAAATATATATTATTAAATGATAAATTAAATAATAAAAAATATTAACATATTTTTACTTTAATAATTTTGACTAAATTATTATACAAAATATGAAAAATATTAGAAAATATGTTAAAAAAATAAATTGAAAAAAATATTACTTTTTATAAGAATGAAACTGTAATAACAATAAAATATATTTAAAAAAAATTTTCGAAACAAAAAAATTACAATAGTAATAGAAATATCTTTAAAAAATTACTGAAAAATAAAAAAAAATTGATGTATAACACATTTGTAGTCTTAAATTTGTAAAATAATTTTTTAGTGACAATTAGGATTAAATAGATGATTTTTAAATTAATTTTTTAAAATTTAAAATGGATATAATAAGTGATAAAGATAATATTAAATTTTTTGTATTTATTTGAAATATAAATTTGATAATTATAATTCAAATGAATATAATAATTTTGATAATCTTATTATTTAAAGATTTAAGAGGAAAATTTTTTAAAATTTTAAAATCTTAAATAAAATTGCTTAAAATTTTAATATCTTACGTAAATTTTTTAAACAATAAAATTTTTAAAATCAAGATAAAAAAATTTATTGAAAGTTTTGGATAAACTTAATTTTTGTAATTTTTAAACATATTTGAAAGATTTTGATAATTAAATAATTTTTTAAATAAGGTTATTTTGGTAAACATCTAAAATTATTTATTAAAAAAATAAAATCCATATTTCATATTTTTAATTTTAGAATATATATCTCTAAATTGATTTGATTTTAATTATAATTTGAATAACTTTTATATTTAAATAAATTTAAAATTATTTTGTAATTAAAAAAATTATTTTATTTAAAAAAACCATTATATGTATCATTTAAAAGAGTTGTTCACATAATATGCAATTTATTTATATATGTTGTTATAATATATATATATATATTAGATAATAATTTTTATTTAAATTTTCCTAAAAAATTTAAAAATTAATGTTAAAAATATTTTAATGTTTTAATTTTAAATATTTTTATAAATTTACTTAAGTAACTTTTAACATAATATTTTAAGATGGATCTTGATTTGATTGGTCTTAAAATATTATTATATTAATAAAAATATTTTTATTTAATTTTAATTAAAAAATTAAAATATTCACAATAATAATTTTATATATTATTAAAAATAAATATTTTTAATATTTCAATAATAAATAATATTATATTATTATTTTAACAATAAAAAATAAAAATAAAAAATTATTATTTTAATAATTAATATTAACGAATATAATAAAAAAATTTTCTTAATATTTTTAATGATTTTTTTATTTTTTTAGTTTAAAATATATAATTTTATATTTTATTTATTAAGGTATTTATATTATTATTTTAATAATAAATATAAATAAACAATTTTTTATTATGACTTAATGATAGATACTTTTAATATAAAATATAAATATTTAATAGTACAAATATTTTAATAATAAATATTATTAATTTTCATATTAATAAAAATAATATTTTAAGAATAATAATATTATTTTAAATATTTTAAGATAATGCTATAAAGAATAATAAATATTATTATTTTAAGTATTTTTATATAAATATAATATTTAAATATTAAATATTATTAAAATATAATTATTTTTGAATATTAATAATTTTAATAATAAATAATTTTAACAATTATATTAATATTATTTATTTTCTAAAATTTAATTTCGGCTAAACAAACGAGCCTTTTGCATTTACTCTGTTCATTGCATTTGAATTTGGAGGTTGAGGTTAAAGGCTGAAGAAAGCATCGTGTGATTTTCACCTCAATTTATTCAATTTAATTTAGAAAGTTTCTGATAAGAATAGCTAATTTTTTTTATTATAGTATTTTCTTTTTCTCTTCCTTTTTTTTTTTTGTCTCAGTAAACGGAGTGTAAGATTCATGATCATCAGAGACAAAAAGTTCAATATATAAATTTACCCCCAAAAGTTTCTAATATCAAACTCAACTTTTGAACATATTTTTGATAGTTCAATTAATATAACTGATGCAAAATTAGCATTACATATGTACAAAAAACGAAGGGGCAGCTTAATTTGGACCCCAACAGCTCAAATACATGACAGTTCTAAGTGCTTCCTCTGACTTCTTCAACTTCTCATCATCTCTCAGTTTCTTAGCCAAAGCAGAAGAAGATGGAACAGAAACCTTCTTAGCTTGAGAAGATGATCTGATATTGTTCTTGACATGCTGTTGTATTGACCTTAGACCATAATTCCATCTACAAATTCCTTGATCTTTCAATGCCTCAACAGCTCCGATGCTAGCAGCTGCTATCCAAGCTCTTGTTGAAGAACTCATGTTTTTCTTTTTTCTATGATTTTGGGAGGTGATTGAAATGAAAGTAGAAATGGGGTTTTTTTTTTTTTTCGAAAATTCAAAGACTGGTTTTCTGGCTGTGTTTTGCTTTGCTGAAGCAAATTGGAGGGTAGGTAAGAGTTTCTTATATAGAGGAAAGTGTTGGAAAAAACCAGAGATGGTATTGCCTAAACAAAAGGAAATAGCCAATGGTTTCAAGCAGTACAATAGGCTAGTGGTATTATAATAAGATTAATGATTTTACTGTACATCCCACGATGGAGACAATAATAGTAAAGAAATGGATAAAGTAGAGATGATGATGGTTGGAGGAAGGAATTGCTATGGACAAAATCCCCAAGATAAGATTTTGGCATTGTTATCTATTTCTTCTGTGTATGGGATGACCCATGAGCCCTTCACATCGAAGTTATAAGTGAATAAATTACTTCATTGATTTGATGTCAATCATGATTCTTTTTTTTTTTTTTTAAATATTTTGCAGATAAAATCTAAAAATAATGCGATTGGGAAATGGGAAAATGAGATGGGCTGTTCTGTTTGGGAGGTTCAAATTCTTGTTCATTGATATATATGTATTGATTGTTTTCTATTTTTCCTTCATAATATTGTACTAATAAACTTTTATGTTGAAATTCATATCAAATCCTTTCCTAAACAATAAATTACCACAACTAGACAAAATAATTAGAATAATTAGGGACAAGCAACAATCTAAGCATCAATTTGAAAACCTTGGTTGAAATTAAGCAAGAATTAGATCATAATTTTGTTACAAATTACAAATTCTTCACTTCAGCACTATTAGCAATTACTCTTAATCTAAAGGCAAATGTGAAGAAGAATCAATAAAATCGACATCAATGATTCTGATGATCTGAAAGAAAAAGAAAAAAAGAATCAATCCATTTGCTAAACTGTACACTCAAAGTGGCATACTATCCATTGCATGGCCATGTAAAGGTGATATGATATGAAAGAACCACAGCCACAGCACTAAGGCAGGTAAAAGCCGGGCAGAATTGGGTAAAGAAGGGGCATAGATCAGATTGCAGGAGCTCAAGTGCTTAACTGAGTTGAGTTATGTCAAATTCATCAGGAAATTTGAACGTGTCAGCTGCTCCGAACTTTCTTTTTTCTTCCCAATCATCGTCCAGAGATTCTCCTTCGTCAGCACTATCGTTATCCTCATCGTGACTGATAGGTGAAGAAGGATTGTACACACTCTGGGAGCGGCAAAATGGGGTAGCAAGCATGCTTACTTGACCAAAGTGAGATATTTCCACTACCACTGTGTCATCATCTACTGGAAGGGGTTGTTTCCATGGTTCTCCATCGATCCTCATAAATGTGTGATCGGCTGCACCCTTTTTAAACTCAAATCGGACTGCATTTGCCTATATGGAGACGAAGATTAGATTGGAAAATAATGCCAGAATAAGAGAGGAGACAGCTAAAATGGTTAACAGTTTTTGTTGTAGAGTCATGAACCTCCTACCTGTGCTAAACGAGTCCCGTGTCCATTTGGCGCAAGCAAAACTAGCCCATGCAGGACATTTCTAAAACCGACTATCTCAATCAGGCCATCATCTACAAAAGGAGGAGTCAAGCCCCTCTGTAAACCAAAATTGGCAATCAAAACCTTTGGGTGAGATGTCAGTCAAAATCTAATTACTACAATTTCAGCTATGATTATATGATTATAAAGGAAGAGAGAGATCGGAACAAACATCATGAAATTTCTTCCTATATGGTTTTCCCCAAGGATTGAATCCACCAGAGAAACTAGGCAAATTTAGGCAGACGATAGAGCCAATGCTGTATAAGAAAGAAACTGGTGTTATGAGAATTAGGACTAAATGAGCAATTGAAGTGTTGATTATAATCATAAGAATGCATACAGGTTATACATGATTTTCACCTGCGAGGTATGTTGAGGTCCTCCCATTGGCCTTGTTTCTTCATGATCTTAACTGTTGTTAGCTGAGCTATGCTCCTGTATTGACATTAAGACATTGTCATAAACACTGGCAACTCTGACTTGAAAGCTTACCCAAGAAATAAAACAAAATAGAATAATCCATTTGGAAGGATATAGACATAAAAGTTAAATGCTCAGTAATCAGGTAATTGATGCACTAAAACGAAGCATGCATGGTGTCGTTCAGCAATGAGACATTGTTTTAAACATATGAAATAAAGCTCTTAGAAAATCACAAGTATCTAACATATAGACAAATTTCATGGAGTAGAGTGCCGTACTTTTAAATACAAGATCAGTAATTCAACCTTGCAGCATTACAAATCTAGCAGGACCTTGTATACTAGATAAGTAGTTAGCTGAGTAACATGACTGATAAAACAGAAAGACATGTGAAACACTTGCATGATACTGAAGAACAAATTGGTATCTGTATCTTCAGTCCTTTGCCCAACAGTCGCTCCTATGAATTTTATTACTGACAAAATTAAAATAATTAGAGAGCCGAGACGTTTTAAATATCAAGCCATCACACATGTTCTTCTAAACAGGACAGGAATTTATATTGCCAGACATCTGTAAGAAACTCACGTTGATGAAGGACGAAAAAGAGAAGCGAAAAGCCAACCTTGAGTACATCCAAGCTTTACATAAGTACTCTGCTTCATCAGAAAGAAATAAGTAGTTGTCTAAGTTTCAGAATTGTCATGAGGATTATCATACAAGTGAAGGGAAACTTAAGACAGCTAAAAACAAAAAGATCATGTTATACACTATATTGTTAGTAGGCAAGTTACACCTACATCAATACATAAAATAATGTATAAATATATGGGTTTATATTTGATGCATTGTCAGTATATAGATTCTATATAAAGAGATCTTCAGTCCAATACACAAACATATGAGAGAGGGGGAGAGGGGAATTTGTATAATCAGCATTGCATTTATTTTTTCAGCTAGGAGCATAGTACTAAGCATGGATATGGCTAAAAGACAACCTAATATCTGAACATTTTAAGATTATGCCACATTTCAACAACCTTTATCAAAACAGAAAACATATGTTTACCTGATTAATTAACTGATTTCTGAATTTTTCTGGGTGCAATTTCCTCTCAGAGTGAAATGCATATGATATTTGTGCATCCATTCCTGAACAGAACACTCTAATTAGACTTATTTGATAGTACTATAACCAGCTGCCAAACAAAATTCAAATGTAGAAATTATTTTGGGCTGACTTCATCCTCGTACAAACGAATTATTGGAGTATAAAGCTTGGATAAATTAAATTATACTATAATACTTAGAAGTCTTGTATAGAAAATTGCAACGCCCTCAAAACCTCAATATAGTAATCAGAATAAAGGTTATTGCACCAAGATCACTGGATAATCAGATAACAAACTGCTGACAATCATATGCAAATGCAATACAGCTGTTAGGCTTACCTCCATGGCTAAATCAGCATAAGATATTTAAAAGGATAGAAAAACTATAGTTGTTTCCATGAACTAAGCATAATTTTGCAATTATTCTCTCTCTCATTAAAGCACTTTAACCCCAAAAAATGCCTCAAATGACCTATTGCATTAGGGACCATCTCAATATAATTGACTGTTCAAGCAGCTCATGCCCATCATCTCAGGGACAAAATGGTACGTTGGATGGATCTATATATCAGGTTCACTTGAATACTGCTATGTTGGACTCATAAGGGCTTAAGTTGAAGACACTAACAGATGGGTAATCACTGACTACTACTCTGACCAAGCAGAGTCCTGAGAAGCACTAAGAGTTTCCACATCAGCATAAGATATCTAAAAAGATAGAAAAACTATAGTTGTTTCCATGAACTAAGCATAATTTTGCAATTATTCTCTCTCTCTCATTAAAGCACTTTAATCCCAAAAAATGCCTCAAATGACCTATTGCATTAGGGACCATCTCAATATAATTGACTGTTCGAGCAGCTCATGCCCATCATGTCAGGGACAAAATGATATGTTGGATGGAACTATATGTCAGGTTCACTTGAATAGTGTTATGTTGGACTCATAAGGGCTTAAGTTGAAGACACTAACAGACGGGTAATCACTGACTACTACTCTGACCAAGCCAAGTCCTGAGAAGCACTAAGAGTTTCCACAACATGAGATGCTTAATTGAGTAATACAGAGGTACATATCTGTATATCGACATGTCTTTAGCAAATGGGAAAATCATTCATTTTCTAAAAATGTTGAAAATTATGAAATTCACATAAGTGATTATATTTCTTACCCATGCTGAAGTAGTTCCAAAATCCTCCACGATATGTGTGATAACCCTCCTGAGAAGTGAGAACATCCAACAAAATTTTACCAATAAGCATAGAAAGCAACCCAAATTCACGTGAAGCAAGTAAACACTAAAGGGGAAACCAAGCATTTAAAAGATGATTTGAACCGCCATATCAGCAACTTTCATGTTTTACTTGTAATTATTACCAGGCTCACAGATCTTATGGTAAATCAAATATATAGTGGTTTTTAATGGCTTATTAGTATTATGTAAAACGAGAACTCTGAGATTAATATTGGAACAACAGATTTAAAATAATTAAAACAATACAAACTCACAACTAGAGGATCAGGGCATAGGATGAGATATAAATCTATTCAACGTGTTGATGCAGCTATTAAGTAACTAGAAGATACCCTTGAGATCGGCTCATTTTATATTTTCATCATCCACCAAAGGTTAAAGAAGACAAGAATAGTTTAACGAAAAACAAAACCAAAATATACTGAAGCAGTACTGCCATACAACTGCCTTTACATAAACACACACACACACACACACACACACACACACACACCAATCACTGCAGTCAAAACATATAAAATGGAAGAAACAGAAAAAAGAGTACGCCAAAAGGGAGCCAAAAAATAGAAAACAGAAACATACCATGCTTAGTTTGTCTGTTTGAGAGATGCGATGAAACTTATGCAAAGAATGGGGTAGTTCAAGAGGCCCAATAGGATCACAAGAACCTTCCTCAGGGGTCTTCATTCTCATGATAATGTGCCAGCTGAAATTTCATTGAATGAACTGTAGCATTAATAATCGAAAGGAAAATTGAAGTTTCCAACACATAAACAACTGAATATCTTTTCCCATTATGACACGGTAAAGCATAACCATATCAAAATAGAAGTTAAGGAAGAATTGCTAGTATAACATCACTATTTAATCTAGTTTCAACCAAAAATAAATTCTTTTCATGTTCATTAAAAATTTCGAAAAGTTCTGGCAGATACCAATTTTCTTCATATTAAGCTCATAGTACTGCACAGTCATATTTGCAAAGCCACGTCATATGACATTAAAGGCTTCAGAGGACTATGAAAAAAGTCAACAAAGGGGCAGGAAGATTATTTGGTAGCAAAAAATTTGAGTGGTCAACTAAAAATAGTTTAGGAAAATTGCACAAAAACAAGAATAAAGCTCATAACAAGAGTAACAACACAACAATAATCTCCATACTGAACTCCTTAATCAAGTTTCTATGAACTAGATGCATGCCAGGGTCATCAAAGACTATCTCATGCATCTAGTAGGACGTTCAGACAACTTTCTTATTTTACCCCTTCCTCAGCCTTAAGATAAAGCACTACGGCCTGCTTAGCAGGAAGCAAAAAACATGTAGAAGCAGTTAGCCAGAAAGATAACAGCTAAGGAGTTTGTTACCTGTCGATTTTCATTTCCTTTGCAGTCTTTACTTGCTCCAAAAATGACAATACAGATTGGCGGTCTGTACCAGGATTTTTCTTTCCCTGCAAATTAACCAAACACAAGGTATAAAATTCTGACTGAGTTGAATCAAGTCTTCCAGTACACACATGTCAATTAGAACAACCATTTCCAGAAGAGTGCATGCTAGTAACTGATCGCTAAAACCTAAAGCAACTACTTATTGTCATCCATTCATTCAAGGAGATTGAAAAGACAGTTTGGCATCACTGACAACAATAAAGTGAACACAGTTTGCAGCATGGGTGTCAAATTTCCTGCTTGGAAAGATTACACTTGTTAATTCTGTTTCTTTTTATGCCAATACCAATTAATAAGAGACTGACAAACAAGACAGGGACAAAAAGGAAACCATCGTTCTTTGTAATAAAAAAGAAATTATTCACCAACTAGACAAGTTCATGATTTACAAGTCAAAAGACACTGTTAGAATGAAAGGGAACAAAGATAAAGAAAATAAAATTAACCTGCAAAACCTTTGAAGTAACAATTAATAAAATAAGCTAGATGAGACAAGTAACTGAGTAAGCATCATCCTACCCAGCCAAAAGAAAAAGGCAGATTGTTTCCAGTTCCCAGAGGCACTGTAGCAACTGGAGGTGGATGAGGGAGTTTAAGATCGGATATTACACCAAGAAGCAGCCGGGCTGTTCCATCACCAACCTGCAACCTAACAGTCTAAGCATATATTAGAGATAAAGTTTTAGGTTTGATATCAACTGCAGTCTTGCACAACATAGACACATATATGTGATGTACATGTATGTTATTAAAGAAGACAAACAACCTGATAATAAACATAACCAGCTACTTAACATGTCAACTCACCATTATTCTCAAGCTACTCAGAATATCTGAAGCCAAAACATGCCCCACGCTGGCTTAAGCATTCCCAGTGTGGCATAAATTTGGTGTAGCACCTTATCAGTTTCGTCTCTCCCCAAATCAAAAACCTGAAAATCAATCAACCAAGTTTGATTGAGAAGACGAACATTCAGTCACAATTGCATTATCCTTTAAGAGCAAGCAGATAATACCTGGTTTTTGTTAAGGACAGAACGATAGGTAAAAAGAAGATCTCCACCAATCTGTCCACCGCTTTTGGAGTTGATAAACACTAACACTGGACAAGAAGATACCCATGGTGGTTTCTTTGCTTCTGATTCAGGAACAAGTATATAATTTGGGATGTAGTAGTCTTTCAAAATATGGTTCAACTTAGCATCACCCATCAGAACCTCCCAACTGCAGGTTATAATATAAGAAATGATCAACAAACTCAGACTACCATTACAAGTTCAAAGCAATCATGCGCATACATCAACATTGTGCAGGTGTAACAAAAAAATTAGGCAGGCAACATAAGCCTTTGAAAGGATAAGCAAAAAGTTGGGCAAAAGAATTCAATAAGCGAAAAATAATTATGCCACTCAATGAGCATTTCTAGTCCTCCGTCAAATCCTTCTCCTTTCGGTTTATGTAGAATTATACAATTAACAATTGAAAAAATTGCAAGAAAACTTGAAATAAAAGATATCTAAACATGCAATTCTGATTGCAATGCACCAAAGACAGTGTCATTCCACACCATAAACAACCAATTTTAGGACTTTTTATCAACAGGGAGAAGATTCCACTATGTACTGAATAGTGATACAAATAATGGAACATATTCTAAAAGTCAGTTATATCTATAAATTAAATTATATGCATTAAACAGCAAAAAACAGCACTTAAAACCTTCTAGAAAGAAAACTACGAATATCTCTAGCCATGAGTTGTGATCCCAAGGACAATTCAACCAAGGCCTTCCCAGGGAAAAATAACAATTTGTTATTCAATGCCATTCTTCTTTGTCACAAAACCTACAAAGAAAAACTAAAAATGAAACACAAATTAAGCATAAATCATCAAATGCACGATTCCTCTTCCTTTTTTTCTCAGTTTTCTGTCCACCATATAATGAATCAGCTCAAATAAGCTAAAAAAAACGCAAATTTGAGCTCAATATCTTCCAAAGCACGCGTTTACTTCGTTTTTCGCTCGCTTTTCTCTCCTATGTCATCAGCAGACAATTAAAAAAACGCAAAAATAAGCTCAAATATCTCATAGTTCTTGATTTTCTCTTAGTTTTTCCTTCGATTTTCTCTCCTTTATCATTAAACGATTAAGAAAACATCAAATAAACTCAAAATCCTCAAATACGCACTTTCTCTGTTTCTCTCTCACTTTTTCTCTCTTCAATAATAAAAACACAAAAATCACAAAATAAAAGCGTGAAAAATTCAAATCCACGCTTCCTCTTCTTTCTTTTCCCTTAACTTTTCGTTTTAAATCAACCAAACAGATTCAAAGCAGGAAATTTTGGTTTTAATTCAAGTAAAAATAAATAAATTAAAAAAACACGATGATGCTTTACCTGAAGAACAAAGAACCTGTAGCGTACTGTGGAGGAAGATAACCGTAGGAATCAAAGCTCAAGATTCAAACCAAAATCAACAATTCTTCTTCTTTTTTTCTTTGATTCTTTTAGTTATAAAATTCGAAACGCAGATCGCTTGGAAAGTGAACAGATGTGAATTAAAGGCAATAAATAATGAATATTAAAAAAAAAAGAGAGAAAGAGAAACGAAGCTTCGGCTTTCGTTTTTGTTAAACTATGGCAGCCGTCGTCGTTTCTTGTTTCTATTTTCGTCATTTTTAGACGTTTTTCAATTTCAAAGATGTTCGGCCAACGGACAAAAAAAGGAAAGAGCAGGCGGCGATATAACCAACGGTCGTTAATTGGCTGCGGCATGGTTTAGGATTTGATGAAAGGAAGACAGAACGGAGAGTGACACGTCACACGAAGGATGAAATCTGGGATAAGTGATTGGTTGGTTCGGTTTGAGAGAGTAAAGGAGTAGTCCCAGGGAACATGGGGGCCTGTTTGGATTCTACTGGGCCGACGAATTGCAATTAGATAAAACTCATAATTTAAAATACCTTATATAAATAACATACAAAAATAATATATAAAAATAATATAATTTAAAAATGTTAATAATAATTATATAAATTTAATAAAATTAAAAAATATTATTTTATTATTATAATATAATACATAAATTTTATAATTTTATATAATGTTTGGATAATATAATCTGTACTGCAAATTGAATTTTTGGCCATGCTGGTGGACTGGACAAAGGGGTCCAGTGGACCACTGATATATTCATTAGGACTTTTTATTTGAATAAAAAATTTATCTCCCGTTTTTACCCTGGAAATGAGGTTTTTATTACTAAAAACCTAACATCTCTTTCTTAATATATTATTTTAATTTAAAATAATATTTCATTATATATTAAATAAAATTTTATATGTTAAATAACATTAACATTTAAATAAAAATATTTTCAAAATATTTAATAATAAAATATATTTGATATAAAATTAATTTTATTAATTTCAAAAATATCAAATGTGTACTATCAAATTTATTATGTATAAACTTTAATCTAATATTCTTAATAATAATTTTATTTTCTCATAACACTCTTCTTTATCATTACTATTATATTTACATCTAAATATATATCTAATTATTACTTTTAAAATCAATACTACAATATTCACTTTTATCATTTCAATAATTAAATTTTTTTATTAGTATTTTTAATTTTATCAAAATTAATTGTACCGTTGATGTCGATTTTAATTGAAATCACAAAAGAGGAAATGACGTGTGGGGCTTCGTTCTTGTTGTAATTACTTTTTTAACCTTGTCACTTTCAATTTCTAGTTGTCTTCAGCATGAGCCAAGAGTAGGCCTGTAAATTTTATATAACAAACGCATTTCTCTCTGTAGAAAATGGTCCGATTTAGCTTCAAAGCTTTGTTAGAGTTAGACGGAAATGTTTATATATCGGATCGGGTTTGGTAGACACCTTGACAATATAGACCCGAAATCGAGTCCAACTTGATTTATGTTTAATAGTAAAATATTATAAATGATTTTTACATTAATATTTTAATATAATTAAATAAAAATATATTATTTATTAACATAACAATATTTGTAGGTCAAATAGAGCACGGACCTTGAAATTCATATCCAAAGTCTGGCTTGAGTTAAACTTGCCTCCTAACACAATTTGAAATTTAATAATATAATTAAAGACTATAAACAGTTGAAAAAATTAAATTAATTTTTTTTCCTTGAATAATTAATTGGCCTATATGCATCAGCAAGTCAATGACGTATATGGATATGACTTGTTCACAAATGGGAATGATATGCAAACAAGAAAGCAAGCTTCATGCATTGGTCAAATCTTTACCTAAAGAAGATAATACAAATAATTTAATTGTAATAGATTCTTTCCAATTCTTTGAATTAATGTGTCCATATGTGCCAAAACTGGAGACAGAAGGCAAAGGTTGTGGTTTCAAAAAAAAAAAAAAAGACTAAATTTTTAGATAAGGCCAATTGGTAAGGTTGATTTTGTGAATTATAATCTCCCAAATGTCTCAATTATTCCAATCTTAAGCTTGCTTAGTCTTAAAGGAGATGGGTTAAAAAGTTGAATCTTTATTATATAGGTCAATGGTGTTGAGGAATTAGTGGGACTGCAAGAGTGATTATTGGAAGTCAAATTGTTTGAAATTTTACAAGAGAGACTGCAAGGATTTGCTATGTAGTTTATGCAAATTGAGAAAAGAAAAACAAAATAATATTAGATAAAAGATAAGTACATGACTTTGGAAGTAAAATTTTTAATGTGTTAGATCGAACGTGAGAGAGTAAGCGCGCTTTTAAAATCATCCGAATAGGAGATTAGGTTTAAACAAAGCTAAGAGACACTTTTGATCTTATTACAAAAAATTTTCTTAACATTTGGTGTACGTGAGGTACCGATCAATATATTCTTTTTGTTACGTCTGAAGCAATAATCACAATAATACAGAAGTAATAGATAACAATTAATAATAAAAAACGCAAAAAAAATAAAACACACCAAGATTTACGTGAAAAATTTTTCAATGTAGAGGAAAAAAATCACGGACTACCAGAAAAATCTTCACTATCAAATAATAGGTATACAAAGTTTTTCTCTAGCTAAAATTAGAGCTAATCAACAACTAGAGAAAACAATTGATGAAATCTCATCAAATAAGTGACTCAACAAATATACCTTGAATTTGTTTCTAGAGAGCTTCAAACCCTATCTTCACCGTTCAGAATGTAAAACTTTAAATCATAAACCTCCTGACAATGTTCCAACTCAATCGGACCACGGATCGACTTCCGTTCAACCAACTCTCCTTTCTCTTTTTTCTCTCTGCTTTTTCTTCTTTCTCTACTTGATTTTCGATACACACACAAAATAATCCCACCTCTTTTTTTATTAAGTAGTTAAGGCTCTGTGTAAAATGAAATATCAAGATTCGTGACCTTTACTTGATCTAAAACCACTTACATAAGGCTGGATCTCATTTTCTTAATATTTTTTAATCACAAATTAATTAACAATAATTGGGGCAATAATTATTGGATTTGGAACTTAATTAATTTAGAAATATTATTTCAGTCATAGTTAGTAGAGTATTGACTCCACAAATAGAATTACTACATTAAAAAATTTCACAATCTGTTTATAAAAATGAATTCAGTAATTTAATTCAATATGTCAACTTACATAATAAAGGGTAAGCAAGCCCTAGATTTAGGACAATTTACTCAATGAGATTGCTTTTAAGGTATATAATTTGTGTTAAGAAAGAGTATGGTGTTTCCAATGGCAAGACAAGAATCTTAT